ACTGTGGCACAGTGCCAAAGAACTAGGGGCTTGCCAAACTGGCAGCAACTTCTCATCCCCCACCAATGGAGAGGTCTGATCTTGCAACAGATTCAACCCCCCCCCCAAAAAAAAAAAAAACTACACCTGGAAGATAACTCAGAGAAGTCACTGGTTCTAAATAATAGCAATTAAATAATTCACCATGGGCAATTTACAACCATCGTCCTAGGAATTTAATTAAAAAAAAAAAAAAAAAAGAAGAGCCTTACACAAGATGCAGTACGAGACATCCAGTTCACCAAAGGCAAAGTCAGGGGCAATGATGTGTGACAATTCAAAAACTACCCAACTGTCTCTGAAGTGGTAACAACAAAGCAACATAATGAGGCTCTAGGAAAAAAAATCAAATTAAAAATAGTTTCTCAGATAACCACAGAGATCGTGTCCACAATGAAAACCATGCATAGTGACTCTAGAGCAGATACAGACAAAAAGTAGAGGAGCTTAAAAAATGATGGAAGCTGTGAATGCTCAGCATAGAAAAAAGCAGAATCCATAAGGTAGACTCAAGCAGATATCCAGAAGAAAAACATTCCATTGAAAGTATTTGCAGCATGGGGCCAGGGAGATGGCTCAGTGGAATAAGTGCTTCCTTGGCATGCACAAGGGTCTGAGTTCAATCCCCGGTTCTGCCAAAAAAAAAAAAAAAGTATTTGCAGCAGATTAAGCTATGTGAGGACAAGATCTGAGGCATAGAAAGCAGGCTTGCAGTTAGCAATTGCGAAAAGAAAGATTTCTTAAAAATAGCAAGGGACCGTGGGAAATCGGCACAGCAGCTACTCGCATTAAAGGGCCTGCACGCAGGCACAGGGGCCAGGGCTCAATCCTGGGTCTGCTGTGCCAGCCCCGCCCCCAGGGCACGCTGAGATGGCAATTGAGACTGGGCATGGTGGCACATGCCTGTAATCCCAACTCTTGGGAGGCTGTAAACTGGTGAATCACTAGGAGTCCCATCTGTGCAGTGAAACCCTGTACATGCTATACACCTTGTCCTAAATTAAAAAAATTAACCCCCCCCAAAAAACAGCAGCTTCTAGCTGTTTGCTAAGAGTTGTTCTCAGATTTTTTTCCCCAGATAGTTGATTATTTTTTTTTTTTGGCGGAACTGGGGATTGAACTCAGGCCCTTGTGCTTGCCAGGGAAGCGCTTATTCCACTGAGCCATCTCCCCGGCCCTCCCCACATAGTTGAAAGGTGGATATTGTTAGTGATAACTATGCTAGCTAGAGAAATTGTGGTAATTGTTTTACAATATAATCATACATGGGGCTGGGGCGATAGCTCACTGGCATAAGTGCCTGCCTGGAAAGCACAAGGTTCCGAGTTTGATCCCTAGTACTGCAAAAACAAAACAAAACAAAACACACCAATATAATCATACATGAAAACATTTCATTATGTGTTTATTTACATTTATGCTAAATGAAATTAATAAACCAATTTTAACATGAACAAAATTAACATGACTATAGCTCTATTATATGTTCTCAAGAGTCTCCCTTTTCTTGCCTTTTAAAAGAGTAATACAATTTACAGTGGTTATATTTCTGAAAATACTTAAAGTTGTATTCATCACTCATTAGAAATGTAAAATAATTGGTTTGGGTGTATGATTTGGGAAGAACTATACATTGTCATGCCGCTTCCTCATCTCATCTATGATAAAAATTCATTATAAAATTGTTTAGAAAAATTTCTATATTATTAGCTGCTTAATTTTTTTCTTCAGGCATTGTACCTATTTTTGCCAACTTCTAGAAAGAGTTTTAGTAGAGGTTTCTATTATATTATTTAAAGATGCTTGTAGGCTTCTAGCACCCTGTCTACATTTTGCTTGATTTTTCCATTTTGAAATTTATGTAAAGATTCATTTTCATATTAGATTTAAACTAACTGCATTGACACTGATGAAGTGAAGCAGCAGTCCATTACATTAACTTCCATTGCACACTCATGGCACTGATTAAGTGAATTAGTGAAGACAAAATTGGTGCACACGTGTAAGAAGGAGTACATTCTCCAGTTTGACAAAAGAAATCAAAGAATCCCTCCTTTCAGGGTTTCTGTGCACTCAACCTTAGCCTGCTCTCACCTTTCCACTCCCAACATCAGTGCTTTCTTAGACATCTTGAATGGGAATGTTTTCTTTCCTATTCCAAGAAGACGGATGCTGAAGTCTCTTGTCCATTCTCATGTCAGAAAGTCATACAGAGGATAATTAATAGAGAGGTGAAATGCACTTTTCAAATTTTCAAATTTTGAGGCTGCAAAGTGTAAGAGCATAGAATCAAAATCTAGGGTTGCATTATGCTTATTTATTTATTTTGGAGACAGGGTCTGACTATGTAATTTAGATTGGCCATGAACTCAACATGTAACATAGGCTGGATTTGACCACTTGGTGAGCCTCCTCCTCAGCCTTCTGAGCACTGGGATTACAGGTATGTGTCTCCATGCAAAGCTGTATAATATTTTCTTCAATGTCAAATAACCATGTGTGTGGTAGAAAGGACAAGTGAATACTGTTATTAGAAACTCACTTGAGTCATACACCACCCATTTTCAAAGGGAAAAACATCATACCATTCAGGAGAGAAAATAACTCTGTTCATTAAATATTCAGTTCCCTAAATAAAAAATTCAGGGGGCATATTGAATCATGATGAGTTACTTCAGTAACTTTTCTGTTGAGAACAGCAGCACAGAATAAAGTGTGATGAGGTAGGGCAGAGATCCATTCTCTTCAGAAAAGTTGAAAGACTGTCTGGAAGCAAAAGAATACTTTTGAAAATAGGAATATCTGGAATGGAACCTGAATAATATGGACTTGTGACTCATGCAATTAATTATAGGGAGCGTTCACTTCTAGACAGAAAAGCAGCATGTAAGTTTTAGGGTACCTACCTGTGATTGGAAGTCTTCTATTACTTGCTGTCAACATTGTAGGGGTTATTAGAGGGTTATTCCCAGCAAGCATTGCTGTACACCTCTTCACATCTTGGTAAGTATTCTGCATAAGTTTTTCTAAAACAGCACATACATGTGAAATTGCAAGCTAATAAAGGAGCTCTCTCTATAAAGGAGTCTTCACTAATTCAATAAAGGAGTTTGTACTGTGTAACACAAGTTAAGTTGTTTCTAGCTGTGGGTTTACTTTAGACATGAATTCATCGCCAGTTGCCACTTTGCACTAAGGTAGTTTTTCCTGAAGGGAGGATAATGGATTGAAGAGGAAACAAGTTTTGATATATAAAGAATTGCTGGAATCAGGCTGAAATATGTATATAGAAAAACTATGGGGCCGGACAGATAGCTCAGCAGATTAAAGCACCTGCTTCTCAGACCATCAAAGTCCTGAAGACACAGGGTTTCAATGTGGGAGGAAGGAACTGTTGGATAAGGGGAGCTTAGAGTCTGAAATCTGTAGTTATTCTGCCCTCATCACACAGAAATAATTGATTATATGAGAAATGTAGCTCCATTGTGACCCTTTTGCCCATCAATACACATCCTTTCGATCCTTGGCGTGCCATGCAGTGCTGGCCCTGCCCCTGGGGTGAGATGAGATGGGGATTGAGACTAGGCATGGTAGCACATGCTTGTAATCCCAGTGTTTAGGAGGCTGAACACAGGAGAATCACTATGAGTCTGATCTGTGTAGTGAGACCCTACAGACCTTGTACTAAATAAAACAACAAGAGCAACAACAAAAAATATTTATTTTGACTCATTGTTTCAGAGGGTGTGGTTTGGGTTTTGATTGATTCCAATGAAGAAATATCTTGGCAAATAGAAGTGAAGTAGAAAAGGTAACTTCTTTATAAGATCAAGGAGCCCAAGAGAAAGGATTCAGGGGCCAGCTAAGGGCCATCAGGCTAAACTCACATGACTCCACTTGAAACACCAAAAAGTGTAATTAATAATGATCTACCTAGTATCACATGGCTCCAGGCAATATATTCGTTCTCAGACTATCAAAGTCCTGAAGACACAGGTTTCAATGTGGGAGGAGGGAGTGCTTGGGTAAGGGCAGCTTAGAGTCTGAAGTCTGTAGTTATTCCTGTCTCATCACACAGAAATAGTTGATTATATGAGAAATATAGCTCCATATTGGCAAGCTCTGTGACCCTTCTGCTCAGCAATATGCTTCCTTTCAGAATTCAGGTTTTTTATGACCCTGGATGAATAGCAAGCTTAACTGGGAGAGTTGACATGCTTGCTTTGCTTTTCTCTTTACTCTTTTGCAGACTATTGCTATTATTTTTTAATTTCTTTGGTTACACAATAATTGTGTTTCTTTTGTGGACATACATTAATTTTGTAAGCTGAAAATAAATTGATGGAGAGGTAAGTGTAAAAATCTTGACAATGAAGTGGACTGCATCACTCCAAAATATCAACTCTCAAGCATATCTACCTTCTATTCCATTCTGGCCTGCCCTGGCCTGTGCTCAGGATATTTTCTGACGTCAGGAGATTGATTCTTCCCTAAAATATTGAACCTGAAAGCCTCTGTACACATTTGTAACTTTACAAGCAGAGCCCACTGAGTCTTTTTAAAAAAACAGGAGCAGGGGGCTGCGGAAATAGCTCAGTGGAATAACTGCTTGCCTGGAAAGCGCAAGGTTCTGAGTTAGATCCCTGGTACCACCAAAAAAAGAATAAAAAAGAAAAGAAAAGAAACACAAAGAAAACAGAAGCAGCACAGAAAAGGCAGAGGTAAAGCCCTTCAATGTAACTATTCCTCAGGCGAGGTGAGGTCAACACTGTAAAAGACAACCTGGTCCAAAACTATCTGCATGGCAATGTTTTCTTTGGGATTCACTCAAGTCAGGATTTGTTTCTGTGTTTATTTTTAGCTCAGGAGGCCGGCAAGAGACAGACGCCAATCAGTGATGAGGGGCGGGCTATATGAACTGTCCAATCAGGTGGGCAAAGTAAGAGGTCCTTTCCGGTGTCATGGTGTCAATTGCGTGTCCTGAGCACAATGCTGAGCGCGAAATGCTTGCTAGACCGCTTTATGTGGCTTCTATCCGCTGTGGCCTGCTTAAGAAAGATCCTGGGAGACCCTCAAGCCCCGCAATGGTGATGTTGTGGGATGGGAGACCTGAAATGGGGTGGAATCGGGTGAGACCAGTTAGAAGTGATCAAAACCAGCTATGGTGGACAGAGCCTCCCCGTTTTGCTTCAGAGCCTGAAGTTCTGGAGGACTGGCAGTGAGTTAGTCCTTTCCCCTTTCTTCCTTGCTGGGGAAAGGATAGTTCTTTGTCCCCCAAAACTCTACTTACTGTAATGGCACCAGCCCACAATGCCATCTTTGAAACTTCCTACTGCCCTCGCACCTCTAGCAGTTTGGGGAGAGAAAGGAGCTTGGGGAGACCCTGACACAGATGTGTTTGGGAGCTGGGTGCAGCAGTAGTGAGCTAAGTCCCCATTCTCATTCCTGAAAGAAGCATATCTGGAGGATCTAAACTTATAAATGTCTGTGATGCAGGGCCTCATAACCACCTCTCCACTCCTCAACCTTCTGCTTCTCTACGTATAGTAATCTAAGTTTGCAATATGTCCTCAATTTTCAGACCCATGAAAGGTGTTAACAAGTTCCTGAGAACTCTAAAGTGTGATGATAAGCCTCAGTGGTGGAGCATTTGACAACCCTGGTGGACTTCTGGGTTCTATACAGAGCAGTGCAAAACAATTTTATAACCTTACTGAATTCTTTAGGTGACACCCCTACGCAGAATTAGACTAATGAAATGAGAACTGCCACACAGTTTAGAATTCTAAGAAAAATGCAGCAGATGTTAAAGTAGTAGCAAGAGCAGCGTTGGACTTTATGGCTAAGGATAACTTGTGGAATCGGGTGCCTGTTAAGCCCTCTCTGACAAACACCTGAATTTGGGCATTTGCATGGACATATGCATGTGATATCTGTATGAATGGAAAGAAACAGTGGTGTCATCTCTGAATTAATAGCTGTGAAACTTGGCCTTATCATAAACATTGTTTAGATATTGAAATACTCTCTCAGATTTAAAAGCAGAATGAGTACAAAGGAGAAGCCCCACACTGAAGTTGTGTATGGATATCAGTGGTTAAGCATGAAGGGTTTTCTGCTTAGATGTATAAAAGGACAATAAAAAGAATGTGGAAAGGAATGACATGATGCAGAATGCCAGTAGTAGGACTTAATAAGGTGTTCTCTGAAAGTTAGATTGTTCCTGGGTTAAGTATGAAAGGATTTGTATGCTTCCTTCATCTGTGAATTGGCCAAAAGTCTCAGGCTTGGAGGAAGGAAGGGAACTGAGTAATAGATAAAAATGTCTTTTTTTTTTTTTAATCACTGACTAATTCATGTGATTTTTTTTGAGGCAAGGTCTCACTGTGTAGTTCAGACTGGCCTTGAACTCACTTATGTAGCTGAGGCTGGCCTTGAACTCACAGTGATCCTCCTGCCTCCATCTCCTGAATGCTGGGATTATAGGTGTATACTGCTAAACCAGAACATGTAATCATTTTTGAGGCAAAATTGGAAATTAGGAAACTGTTTGCCCTTAGGGTAGGTTAAAAAGTTTGTGTACACCATGGTTGAAGTTGAATAAAAGGGGTTTCCCCAGGACATGGAATATTCGAAGATGTGCTTGATGTTTTTTGTTGTAGTGAAACTGAACTCTGGAAATTTGCTCTGAGATATGTACCTGCAAATGTTTAATTTTTGATTTTTTTTTTTCAATTTGAGACCATGTCTTATTAAGTTGCCTAGTGTATTGTGATCTTTTGATAGTTCCTATACCTCACTGACTGCTGGGATGTCATGCATATGCCATTATATCAGTTTAAGATTCGAGTTCTTTATTGATATGGTTTACCAAGATTTCAGTGCTTGGGTAAAGTAAAAATGAGTTGATCATGCAGTTTCTTCCCTTTACTTTCAGATACTTGGGAGACTGAGACAGGAAGTGTTATAGTTCCCAGACTGGACAGTAGAGCACGGTCTTCTTTCAGAATGAACTGTGAATTCTGTGATTTATCTCCACTGCACAGTAACTCAGTTACCTTGTACTAGGCCCTGTAATAAATCATCCATAGTGAAGAATAAAAACAAAGTTATTCAGTGAACACTTCATATTAAGGTTTTTATTTTATTCTTTTTGTACACTAGAGACACAGTGCAGTATTTCCTTGTGATGGTGGACAGCAGTAATGAGTCCCTCCTCTGTCTGCCACAGGACACCAGTTGTAAAGAAGCAGTGATTTGCAGAGCACTGTAGTCAGTAAAGTGAATGTGCTATTTAGTATTTTTATTTAGATTTTGAATTGTGTTACATATATTTCACCACAAACCGGCCAAACAAGTGTTGAGCAGGTTTTAAGGATCCCAAGATTAGTAATGTTTTCTTAATTTGGCATATCCTATTAATTTTCAGCACATTTTCTTTTGAATTTCTTTGGGGTTGATCATGATATTTTTCCTTTTTAACTCAAGTAGTGTGACTACTTTAACTCTTCAAAAATTCCACTGTGAAAAATAATAAGAATCAGATTGTTTTTTGTTTTGTTTTGTTTTGTTTGGCACTGGGGATCAAACTCAGGACCTTGGTCTTACCAAGAAGGCGCTTATTATGCTGCTGAACTATATCCCCAGCCCTCGTTTCAGTTTTGGAGAGCTATATTAATCAGGTTCCCAAGAACAACTGAAAAAGACAACAATATGAGTAGTTTTTGGAAAAGGAAACACTACTCTGGATTTTGACTTTTGTTTCTTTGTTTGCTTTACTTTGTTTATTGTTGTTGTTTTTATTGAAAGGTGCCACAGTCTGATCATACTGGCTCACTTGCAGCTCCATAATAAGCAGGTAGGATTAGGACTTTTACTGATTAGACGCAGGCCTGAGCAGTTGGAACACAATCCCTCAAGCATGTGCAACACTGAAGGGAAATACTTCTGTACTTATTTCTAATTATGCTGATTCTGGAAACCATCCAAACTGCATTAACCTTAGGTAAATATCTGCCTTTCTATTCCCAGTTTGCCTACTCATTTAACCCCACTTCTATGTCCATGCCATTAAGGACCTGATGGCATGTCTGTCCACTATTTTATTTTTGTAGTGATGTATGTCTCTGTGGAAAGAGATGATGGAGGGCCTTTTTCATATGTTCCATAATTTCCAGTTGACTGCAATCCCTGAATCCTCTAAGTTTCCTTGGCTTGCTTACTCACTGAAGACACAACTTGTTATCCTGGAGGTGCCCATGGGAGGGGCCTATGACACAGCTGAGGTAAAGCTGAGAGCTGCAGCTCAAAGCACCTTTTAGTCTGTTTGTTTTTCTCTGTGGTGTCGTCATACAGCGTGAAGCAGTGGAGTCTGTTCTGGATTTTCACACTTTTGACATCTGGAATGTATGCAGGTGGTGAGGAAAACGAGAGAATGTGCAAAAACGGAGTACTTTGTGCAGAGTCACTGAGATTGAGATTGTGTTGCAGAGAGAGAGTTTTGTCAAGTCTTTTGGCTTTTGCCCATTCTTGTACCTTGTCTTTCAATAGCTGGTGTGTCCAGTGCAGCTGCTAAGTCAGTACCTTTCTGGTAATGGTGACTGTGCACATCAGAACACTTAAAAATGTGTCTCAACTTTTTCTTGTACTTATAAACTAGAACGTAAGAAAGATTTAATATTATCTTGGGAATGGAAGTCAAAGAGGATAACGATGTCCCATAACAAACATGATGGTCATATGAGAAGGAAACCTTGGCCCCAAATATCACTAAGGCTGTGCTCGACAAACCTGTTGCAGATGTTTTCTTTTCTTTCTTTCTTTCTTTCTTTCTTTCTTTCTTTCTTTCTTTCTTTCTTTCTTTCTTTCTTTTTTTTTTTTTTTTGGTGGAATCGGGGATTGAACTCAGGCCCTTGCGCTTGCCAGGGAAGCGCTTATTCTACTGCGCCATCTCGCCCTGTTTTCTTAACACATTGAGCCCCTGCTTGTTGCTACTAGATCGTACCCCAGGGTTTCATGTACAATTTTTATGCTGGCTGTAGGCCCTAAGTACTGGTGAGCACTGAGCTGTACCCCTGCCTCATGCACAAATACTTTTAGTACTCAAGTGCTATGTTAGAGAGTTCATTGTGTATTTTAATTGATTGAATCAGTGATACTTTCCAGATTTATTTGTACTGCTGTATTTAGATATAAGTTCTGACAGGGTCTTCATTGTGTGTATATGTACTATTTTCCTTTCCACATTTCTGGGAGAGAAGTCTTGTTTAATTCTGTCACTGATAAGAATTTCTCATGGAACATTCTCTTACTCGCTGTCCCAAAAGCAGATTTGAGACAATCTCATGGATATTCACAAGCTAATCTGCTGGTGTGTCATTTAAATCTTATCATACACTATCCACACTACACCCAACAGTGGTCTATAGATTCTGTTTCTCATAACAATCAACACAGGATTTTTATTTTTTCTAATCTGACAAGTTTCTCTGACTCCTAGTGAAATTTGTTTCCTTTTTTTTCTTTCTGTCTTTTTTGCCTCCATTTTTAGGCATTCTTTTAGTATTTCCTCTGTAAGTTCTTCTGTAAATTATGTTTATATCATGTTATCATATAATAATAGTCTAGTGAGCATTCTTTTTGCTGTCATTTTTGCAGATATTTCACTATAACTTATGGAGAATCAATATACATTCTTGTGACTTCTTCAACTGAATAGTGGTTTCTTTGGGAGTTTTCTTTGGTGAATTAAAATCCTTACTATTAACTTTTGTATCTTTCTAAGTCACATTAAGATTCGTATCTTTACAATTTGCTTCTAAAGATGTATTCATTCTTAAATCAGCAGGTCATTTTCTTAAACTTTCCATAATTTAGGTTCATTTAAAAAAATATTTTATTTTGTGTATTTAGTACAGGGTCTACAAGGTGTCACTGCACAGATCGGACTTGTAGTAATTCTCCTGTTTTCAGCCTCCCAAATGCTGGGCTTACAGGTGTGCACCACCACGCCCAGTCTCAATTGCCCTTTTCGCATGCCCTGGGGGCATGGCCGGCTGGGCACTCTACCCTGCATCTGCCTAAGCAG